GGAAAAGATAATATTAGTGGGGTGGGTAACAGGCTAGATGCAAGATGTCCTCTAATTTCCATTTTCTCCTTTGTTCAGAGTTAAAGAAATCTTTATTTCTTGTTGGACGTATGGTTGTCTGCCTGGAACAGTGTTTCCCATGCTATGGGACCAACTTAGAGCCAACGAGATGTTAGCAGAAAGGATGTACAACTAATGGGAAGTATTCTTAAATAGATGGACTGTGTCCTTTACCATCCCTTCTTCTTTACTACCAGTTGGACAGTGGACACAAGAATGGACATTGTAGAGCCTGAGGGGACACTTCAGATAGAAATCACATGAGGAATGGAATCCATCTGAGGAACAGCTCCCCCTTTGGAGTTTGCTGTTGGTATTTTCATGCTGTTTCCTTTGGCCATTTCTCTTTCCTTTGTGGATGAAATCCTATCACTTAGGACAAGACTGGAGGAGTCTGGCACCCTTTTATTAGCCTAGGCCACCTCCCTCTGGAGTTTCATGCCTAACAGCAAGGCATTTTTATTCTTATTTAAACCACTGGAGCTCTGAGCTCCTGCCTAAATCTAATACAATTGGTACTAACAGGATAATTCAGTCTTAGTTTTTTTAAAAAAAGTGTTTAAAAACACATTTGTTTTTCTATCAGGGCTCTGAAACAATGAAGTGGGTTCAAATGAGGTGAGTGCCAAGGTCGGGCTTCTTTCTCTAGTAAGTGAAGCACTTGATTCAAGAGTCTGGGAGACTGTCCTTCTCCCCTGACCAAAGAAACAGCTACATCTATACAAGCTCTGGCACCAGGACTGTTCTGTTCTTCTGGAGGAAGAAGCTGCTGCATGTGCAGACCTTCATTTGAATCTGGCATAGCAATTCTTCAACAATAACAACTCTACACCCTGTGACTCTTTTATTCCTTCTGCCTCCACCTAAGTGCGGACCAGGCACAATACTACTGAAGATTAGACGCTTTATGGATGGGTGATAAAAGTTGACAGGAACAAGGTCTACGTGTTAGGTAAAACAGTCTTTGTTCATGGAATCTCATAGCTCCTCTATTTGGCTCACCATAGCTTTGTCTCATTTCATTTCCAGCCTTAAGGCAGAACTAGGATTATTAAAAAAAAAAAAAAAAAAAAAGATCTCTTTCTCCAGCTTGTGCTGTTCGTTATCTGAGGTAGTCTTGATCCTGCCCTTTCTTCCTCACCCCATAATGTGCTCAAATGAACACTCTGAGTGCCTGAAACTTATAGCTCCAAGAATCCCACTTAACTAGAGGTAAAACTTTACCTGATTACTTGCTACAATGCAAATGCATGACCCGAAAAGATACTGGCTTAATTTTGTTACTATAGTGACTTGAGTTAGTTTACCATATTAGCTAGCTAAAGTCTAGGAAAAAACAAGGAATGAGGCAAGGAAAGACTCTGGAAAAATGGAAATGAATTGGCTTATGCTGTTAAGTCACCCAAAGGTACTCGTTAAGCACCTATTACCCTCCTGCATGATACATTAGCTGCCAGCAAGAGAGGCCAGCTGGGGAGGAATGGAAGGTGGACAACAGATTGGACGGGGAGGATCCCTGGGAGGTAGTATCATCAGTTTCTATGGTAGAAGGGAGAACTCCAAGGCAGTTCACAGAGCTATCCAAGGAAAGCCAGATCATTTGAGCTGGACCATGTCCTTTGTCTTGCTTCAATATGGTGGCAGGAACCCTCCCACTGGCTTCTGCAGAAGAGATTAGGAGTATACTCCATCAATGAGGAGGAGCACAGAGGTCTCATTCAACCATGGAGCACTGGAAATTTACTCACTGGACAACTGGGTAGATTGTTCTTTTAACTCTTTTCAGTTTGGGGAAATAACATGTACACTTCACTTCATGAGTCTCCTGTGTATACTTGTTTTTGTAGATACCATTGGATTCTGCTTGGCTTCTTCCTTAAATTCCTTAAATTATATTTTATCCTGTTTATACGAATTTCCAAATCCCTTGTCTCCACTTACGGAATTATTTTTGATGTTTAACACTAGCTGAAGTTTTAAATATGAGACAATGGTATTTAAGGTACTATTTGTCATTTCATCTTAGTAAATAAATAGTAGAATATACAGAGTGAAACTACTATAGTTAAGTAGCAGTAAACAAAATTTAGAAGTATGGTGGTTGTGATCATTTCTGTTAATACTTCCATTAGGCTAGGCTATCATTTGTTAGTTGTTTATTAACATGGAAGTCTGACACTTAGTAGGACAATTTTAAAGGAAAAAAAATCTAGTGGCACTCTTTTACTCATTTCACAAACCTTAAATTTTAACATAGAATATGCTTACTTAATATCTTGTCTTATACACCTATAATGTTTTGATTAAACTAATATTATTACCCCAACCATAGAAATGCAAACATTTAGATTCACAACTTTCTTCACTATTCTCTTTTTAAAAATATTTTTTTTAGATGTTTAAGGACCTTTATTTTATTGATTTATTTATATGTGGCACTGAGAATTGAACCCAGTGCCTCACACATGCTAGGCAAGTGCTCTACCACTGAGCTACAACCCCAGCCCTCTTCACTATTCTTCTGTCAAAGATATTAGTTGATATTTAACTGGAAGAAGAGCATACTTCAATTTGCTCAGGTGCTATCATTGAAAATGCTATATTTTCAATGGTTATAAAATATTATAAGAATATATATAAACACTGGTTGGACAAAAGAAAAAACACTTTTGTCAGGGTGCAAAATATATATTCTCAGCCTTTCTTGGGGAATGGAGACAACCACTTGACTTCAGTGAGTCTTATTCAGTCTTAAAATGGAGGAGCTTTGTAAGAGGTGTGTGGTGATCCTATTGGTGATCTAGCCCCAGAGATAGTCTCAATCTTCCACTCCTTGCTACTTCATGAAAAAAAAAAAATGCTGGAGTGACATACTTACTTTCCCATCATCTTTTGGAGCTAGGAGTAACTGGATAATCTATTTCTCACTAATGATATGTAAGATAAGCAGGGGGGGGGTTCTGGGGAGAGTTTTCTCTTCCTTATGTTTTATGTCTCAAATGTGAATGGGATGCCAGGAGTGGAGGGAATTAATTTTCAACCAGGAGCAACAAGCATGAAGAAAAAAGCCAACATGGTACAATGGGTCAGGCTTTTGATAACATTGCTGAGCTGCTACACATCTCTCTTCTTGAGACTTGTAATTATGTAAGCATGTTTAAACGATCTTATTATTTAAGTAATGCTTTGCCAGATTTGTTTGTTGGTTTATTTGTGGTCATTGCATCTTATAGACTTTCTATGACTTTGAAGAGATAAGTGTACAGTGATCTGAAGACAAAGTCAATTCACTGTCATAGAGATGGTGCAAGTTTACTTCCATGATGAAGGAAATGTCCATACAGAACATACAAAATATGTGGCCACTGAACACTTGAGAGTGTGGCTAGTGTGATTGAGAAACTGAATCTTTATATTTACTTTTTATTTAATTCTTTCATTTTTTAGTGAATTTTTAATTTTATCTTGCTTTAATTAATTTAAGCTGAAATAGTCACATGTGGCTAATGGCTGTCATGTCTAACAGTGCAGATCTAAAGGATTACTAGTCTACTAAAAACATTTAGATTACTATTGTTATCTTGAACAAAAATTCAGCCTCTAATTTATATATGCTATTTTATAAGCCAAGAACATCTCATTATGGAAAAATGATGATTCAGCGGGGCTTTACATAGCATCCTGTTTGAAGGCTGTTAAACAATATTAAACAACATTTAACTTGCATATTAGCTAACTATACAGAACTGATACCAATTTAAGCATTTCACATTGACAACTATAATAAATGATGTCTTTTTAGAAACAGAATCTTATTCACACTACATTCATTCAGTTGTTTGTTAAGACTTTTGTATTCCCAATCACAACTGAAAAGAAAAATAATGGTGTGCCAGTCTCATTAAGCGGAGGGGGTACAACAGCTCTCTGAGATAAATTGTAAATTATAGTTTGCAGAAGATGGCTTGGTATGCTGGCAAATCAGCCCAAAGTGAACCCACCAAGAGCTGTGGGATACCAAGAGCTGACAGACACCGCAGTGAAAACATAATAGCAATGGACACATGATTACACCAGGAACCAGTGATCTGTATGGCTGTCTTGTCCTGGAACATGGAATTCAATGCTCTCTGCTATACCCAAATGTGATTTGGACTAATAATCCCATCGCCCCTTAGCATGCTCACATTCACAGCCATTTTCGAGCCTAAGGAACAACTAATTCTACAAGGATCCACGGTGGCCTGGAGCTGTTAAATTAGCACTTCTTCAATCTCCTGACAAGGATCACAGTCACCAATAACTCTTCATCATGGTTCCCTCCCAGCTGAAAATAGCTCAGTCCCTCTGTGCTGGGAACCCTCGTTCCTTTCTATCTGGTGTTATGCACAATTTTATGAAATAGCTGACAAGTTGAACTTAACACAGAGACGGGTCTGTCCGTATTCAGGGTTCTAACCAGAAATGATGAAGAAAATGAGTTGAAGATTTTGCAATTCTATTTGGTTCTATATGTAAAACATGAAATTTAAAAAATTTTTCAATTTAAGAAAGCCACCACCTTACATTTCTAAATAATCGATACTTGCATTCAGTTGCTTCTTGAGCAAGTTATAGACACTGGGTTCATTCAGAGTTGTTTCTCCTGAGAAAGAAATTATTTACAGCCAGTGTCACTTTCGTTTTATATTGAGAAATACTCCCTTCTCATCGGTTTGAATTGGCTTGTTTTGCAAGGAGGACCTGTTTTCTCCATAGGTGTGCTTTGACCCACTTGTTCTGCAATAATGTCTAATGTCTAAGAGATAAAGGTGACCATGCTCAGTCCTGATGGAGGAAGGCATGAGACACAGTCACTAGGAATGTCCCACGTCTGAAAGAAAGTCCCAGGTGGAAAATGCCTCACAGTTAAAGATGAAGCAAGACATGAATTTTTTTACCTAGGTTGTGGCTCTGAAATGCGGAATCTGCAATTGTATCTTCTTCATCCTCTTGTAAGTTTTCGTTTGCCTCTTTTATCTGCAGAAACAAGAAAATACTGAAAGTTTTTATTCATTGTATTGAATAGATCTTTGCAATCCTCAGAACAATAATATATTAAAAAAAATACATCATTTTTTTCTTTCATTCCACTTTCCCTCACTTTATCATCTAGCTTTTCTAGGACTTTTAATTATGAGAACATTCTTTTTTCAGAAATCAAACCCTAACTTTGGAAGGAAGGATGTACAGGTTACCCGATTCTGCATAGGATTTTAGAGATAAGAGTTTTGGTTTTTAATATAATATAAAATCAGTAATTCAGGGCTGTTAGGGAAAGTTAAAATATAAAGAGGTATAATTCCTCCAGAGTGGGAGACTTACATCATAGGTTATATTAATAAAAATAAAGAAATATACTTAGATCTCCTGACACTTTCCCGGAAAGTAACTTTCTAATAAAATTATTTTATTTTTCATTCTTTCCATAATGAAATGAGGTGACAGTGATATGTGCTGTGAACTGAAGCAGCAAGACTTTTATAGACTTCTTACATTAAAACATTCCCCTTATATCTTAGCTGGAACACCTAGACCCTGGATCATGTAACCTCAAATAGAATCCTGGAGAGAAACTCATGGAGTCTCAGTGTTTTACAGAGAGAGAAGTCTGAGGTCCAGGAAATTTTCTTAAAGTTGGCACACATGTAGTGTGTGGAGACACTTGCATGAAAACCCAAGTCTTCCAATTCCCATCTCAGAGACGGGGGTATTGTGGACCAGCCAATATGGAGATACCTGCATACAGTGGTGGCGGGGGCTGCATAGAGTCTTTACACATATCTCATCATCTTCCCGGTTATACCAGGGACAGGTTCTACTATTACAGAGAGGGTGAGTGATGGTCCAAGTGGTAGAGCTGAGATTCAAACACAGCAAGGCAAGCTCCAGATTAATGTTCAGGTGGGGAAACTTTGCTATTCTCAAATTTCCATTTGACTCTGCTTCTATAGACTTGACCTCAATATGAAGACAGCTTAGGTCTTTGCTGCAGTGACCCTCCATAGCTCTTTTAAAATACATTCTAGCCAGTCACCTGAGCAGCCAATAATAATGATGATGATGATATGAGCTGTGCAATGCAATGGGGGTCCTGCTCGGGCACATACATTAGAGGCTGTCGGTGGATTTGCTCAGGGGCTCAAGTGGAATACGAGGAAACCATTATTTTACTCTTGCAATATAGAAAGCCATATGGTTGCATACTGACCTTGAACTAGATTTAGCTTTCTACTTTTTATCTCCTATTTTTCACACTTAATGGGAAAAGACCAATTATTTACATTTTATGACTTCAGTTTCAATCGAAGAATGCAATTGGTGCGTAATCTGTACCACGCTGATAGCCAGAAGGTGACAAAGGCGGGAGGCGAGGTAGACATTACCGCCACCCTGGCAGGTTCAGCATCTGGAGACCGTGCTTCCTCACTTGCTCTGTGGGCACCTCCACAGGAAGAATGTTAGGGAAAAAAGAATGAAGGGAGCAAAGGCTTCAAGCAGCTGCTTCTAAGAATGTGCATTTAAGGAAGATAGAGAGGAAAAAGCCCTTTGAGCAGGAGTGAAGTTGCTGATTTGCCTTCCAAGTTTCACTTTGCTCAGCAATCTATTTATGGCAAGGGTACTCAAAACCAGTAAGAAAAGGACCCTTAAACCTCCTTAATTTTCCATTAAGAATCCATTGAGCGCCTTCTATCCTCATTTATGGATAGACACATCAAGGAAACCTATATCTTTAGTTCATTCCAGCTCTTATAGCCATCTGTTCCATATACACTCCCCACCTGTTAATGTAAAACAGTATTTCTTTGGGGTTATTCTAAATTTGCCCATTTTAAACTTGCAAGGGTACCTTCCTAAACTGTTGGAATATGAGTGAACCATCATTTCTGTCAGCCTGTGAAATTCAAACTAAAGAATCAAGAAATTAGAAAAAGTTTCACACCTTATAAAGGATATCAGGCTTGGAGAGGGTTAGTGATCTGTTCAAAGTCACGCAGGGTTTTACTTTTAGAATGGTACTTCTGAACCCTATTCATTGTGATAAATTCATTTTTTCAAAGTTCCCTATATTGGTATGAACATCCTTCTCAGACTGTCCCTGTTATGGTTTGCATATGAGGTATTCTCCAAAAGCTCACATGTGAGACTATGAAAGAAGGTTTAGAGGATAAATCATTGGGTTGTAGCCTTAACTTAATCAGTGAATTAGTCCCTAATGGGATTAACTGAGTAGTAACTGGAGGTAGGTAGGGTGTGGCTGAAGGGAGTGGTTCATTGGGGTGTGGGTATGAGGTATATATTTTATATTTGGAGAATAGAGTCTCTCTGTGTGCTGCTTCCCTCTGCCATACTCTTCTGTCAGGATGGAACTGGTTGTATAAGGACTGAGAATTCTGAAACTGTGAGCCCCTATATAAAACTTTCCTCCTGTACAATTGTTTTGGTTGGATCCTTTAGTCACAGAAGCAAAAGAGCTGACTAAAAGAGTCCTCCAAACTATGATTTCTTTCTTAGGGTAGGGTAGTTAAATATGGAGGCAATATTCCAAGTATTCATTAATCATAAAGATCTATTTTGCTCATAACCCACTTGAATCAAAGTGTGAAATATGATACATCAAGAACTATGTAATGTTTTGAACAGACAACAATAAAAAATTTAAAAAAAAAAGATCTATTTTAAGAGTAGCGAAGATTCTGTGTGTGTGTGTGTGTGTATAAAACTGTTCTGCCTCCATGCGCTACTGTTCCCTAACTCTTCTGTGGAACTTCACTACCACCTTTGTCCAAGTTATCATTTAAGAAAGAAATCATAAGCTATCATGGAGTCCTACCTTTTGCTTCTTTATCAGATCTTTCTAGGACTTTATGCACTTAAGAGCAAATGCTAAGTGTGACTTCTACGATTCATCCAAGGAACAGGCCTTATAGACAAGGTCCCAGTACTTGATTCAGGGTGGGAGGATGATGGATAGGGGAAATTTTTAAATTTGAAAGGGACAGATGAAGCACTAGAAAAGGAATGGAAATAGGGGAATGCCCTAGAATGGCAAACTCCTCAGCTCTAATTATCCACACAAACAGATTTCAATGCTAAGTAGTGAATAATTTTTTAAATCCATTTGGCTATGCAAATGAGGGGCATAATTTATTTTGGCAGCAGATTCCCCTTGCTAATTTTATTTCTCATAGGATCAAATTTAATTTTCATTCCTGATCATGTAGCTGCTAGGTTATGGGAAACTACAGGGATAAGGGGCTGCCAGGTCCAAATTAAGAATTTTGCCAAAGACAGGCATTAGCAGAACAACCTCTCCTGGCAGAGCCCTAGGAAGAATTAGAGTGGCCACTAAACCAAGAAGCTGGCAAGTGTTTGGCTGGGAAAAGACTGGTAGGTAGAAATTTAGAATTTCTCAGTCACTGCTATCTCAGGACAAATAATTCCAGTACTCTCCATTTGAAGAGAAGTAGCAGGTGGCTCATAACTAACAACTAGGCGCTGTTGGGGTGCACTGTCAGAACTCTGGGCACCTTCTAAAGATGCATCTCTAATTCTTGTCCAGTTTTTCGGGCTCTGTCATTATAGACAAGAACGGCTCCGAACATGAGCTAGTATAATAAGTGACCTGTCACATTTCAGTGCATCCATCATATATTACCAACTCCTACCACTAGGAAGGACAGGAAGAAATGAGCACACAGAAGGCACAGAGGAAAGTGGAAGACAATATTCACCACTGATTCACACATGTAGATGATTTCATCACTGAACCCTGTACTGGGGACACTCTTCATTTGGAAGAAGTATCCATATATGTTCACATATTTCTTCTCTGGGTCACCCTAATGCTAATGACTTTTTTTTTTTGTTACCTTAAAGCTTATTTAATAGGAAAAGCACATAATGAATCTATGACAGACAGGGAGCAATCCTGGGAGGGAAAACTAAAAGGCATGACCTTTGGAAAAGTTAGTCATTTAGAAAACTTTGTAAGAGGAGGACAACATAGGCATGCTTCTTATTAGCATCAAAACAGCATTTAGAACAGAATCATTCAATTATGGATATTGAAATTAGGACATTTTTGCAAAACTTAAGATGATAACAATTTGTGTAATTATTGTACTATTTGCTGCTGCTTCATCACCAGAGTCCCATTTTAATGGGATAGAATTAGATGATTTTTTATTAGCAGATGTGAGTTTTTTCAGACTATGTGATACTCTGGTGAGGAAAATACCCATAATTTAAATTAAAATACTTGGTAAAATGGCCATTTCCCTCCTGTGCATGATGAAGGTGTATGATCTCGTTAACTTTGTTAACAATTTTTATTTTTGTCCATTGGTGTTAAATAGGAGCCTGGAGCTGTCTTCCTTTGAGACTTCTCATTTCAGAAAATTATTTCAATGCACAGGAAAAAGGAACTTAGAACTCTCAGCAAGCAGAGTGCATCTCAATCTGACTCACTGACTTAATGCCGAGGCAGTCTTTCTAGGGGATACCTTTCCTCCTTCTTTCATTTAAATGATATAAAATCATTTTAAGTTCAAAGTAACATGGCCCCTGCTCTAAATTACGCAAAAATTAGAGCAAAGTGGTCTATAAATGATGGCAGAAATGGGGATGTAAGCCTCTAATTAAGGTTTTGAAAAGAGTAGAAGATTTAATTCAGCAAAGCATTACTGGGACTTTTGCACATGTTTTAGAATGTGTTTTAATAATAATAAAGAGGGATATGCAGTTACTACTGAACTGACTGGTTTGCTACAAATAAGGGATTTTGCATATATGTATACACACATGTATATGGGAATAATCTTTTATAACTACATTAAAATAATCAAAATGTCTTAGAACTCTCATGACTAAATATCTTAGTTTTAAAAGGGGAAGAAAGGGCAAGAATGGTGATACATTATGTCAAAGGTTTTGGAATGGTTTCACTCAGGAAAAAAAGTATACTATGTAACGCATATTTATAGTTATTATATATTCAAAAGAACCACTGTAAGAAAAATTATTATAACACACTGTAAAATAAGCAAAAGAGCAAATTTACCTTAAGCCCTAGTGGGGAAAAAAATCTTTGAACTCTGAGGTTCATGGGTAGCCACATCAATGTACTAAGGTATCAGAGTTTTGCATCTAATCTTTTTTCTATATACACTGATAACATATAATAAATGGGTTTTCACAGTGACTCTTGTACTAGTCCCAAAAGAGACACTAGCAATGTTGTTTCTGAAATTAGTAATTTTAGCCCAATCCACACTGATGATTATGGAGATGAAACAAACAAACAAACAAAAAAAACCACTGCATTTTACATTTTTTTTTAAAATGGACTAGTTGGCCATCTTTCCAGGTTGATAATGTTCTTCTGTATGAAAAAGCTTCTCAGCATGACTAATTTCCTCTTGCAGCTAACTAGAAAAATTAGCATATCTCTATTGAGTGTATATTCAGGGTGGTTAGGGAATCTTTGTACTTCACAGAAAATAATAAGAATGCTTCTTGCAGATATTCTGGAAAGAGCAAAGGACCTTTTCTACTACTCTGTGAAAGATTGTAGAACAGAGAGGAAAAGCTTGGCAAATTACTATAGCATTAGGAAGTAATAAGAAAGTAAAAATGGGATTGTAAAAGCCAAACACAGGGTTTTTTTTTTTTTTTCTGGTACTTCTGTACAGTGAAGATATACCCTAAGCTGTCAGAGCCATATTAAATGGGGCATAGTTAAATGGAGTGCCTCTGATAAGGGGCTCTGGCTGGGCTATCAGAGTTTTCCATCAGCTGGATTGAATTTCTGGCATATTGCACGTTTCTACATGTTCATTCTCTCTTTCCTTTCAGTGACAGTACAAGGGCAGCCTCAGATATGCTTATAATTTGTGGCTTTATAATGCAGGGGACGTCTTTACGTTTTCAAAGAAGGAACGATACCACAGGCAGGCGCCAAGAGTGGAAATGGAGGGAAAAAGAAACAACTTTTGCAAAAAACATGGAGTCCACATATGATTTCAGACAATTTGAAAGACCCTACAGCCCTTTGAATTCAAAATGTATCTGACTGCAAAAAATTTAAATGTGCACTTGTCTCAAATCTCACTATGTCTGTGAAACTTAAAGGAATGCTAAACATTAATAAATAATTATAAGAATGAATAACTAATAATGTCAGCTTATATAAAAATATTTCTACTATAGAACTATACCAGAAATAATATTTCAAATTTTTCCTCAGAAAATGGTAGCAGGTATGATATTTCATAATCTTTTTATTAGAGTATGAAAAAATATAGATAAGGTAATTCTGTAAAGAATTTTTTTGGTGTAAGTGCTTTAAAACTTATTAAATGGAACAATGAACACATCAAGTCAATTATACAAGCATATAAAGAATGTAAAGAGAATAAATTCAATTTAAGGTGACTTTAAAATAAAAAAAATATGATGTCTTAGGGAAATATAAAAGTGTCCTTTTATTTATATTTTAAAGGAAGAGTATTCCCCAAGTCTTGGACCTCATCACTGAAAGACTAAATGATAAGGCTCCAAGTTCCAAAAATATAATTCTTAGTCTTAATGCTTTCTGTCCAAGTAGAATGAACTGGGTACAGACCATTTTCACAAAATATGAACACTGTTTAAATCAAACCATTCAAGTAGCCAACACTCTCTTAAATTGTTCAATACACTTATTTCTAAAACCATACTCATTCCTTTTTTGTGGTTGGTGTTGGAAGTCATCAGAACTAATTTCCGGCACAAGGTATAATTTGAACGTGATGCTCGTGGCACAATTTGGTCACACTGAGCTTCCATCGTACCATTGTTCTGAAAGTAGGAGTGAGAAAAAAAGCATTCCTGCAGGGAGCTGTTCCCACTTGTGGTCCAGCTGCTATCTCTCTGCAACACTGATCACCAGAATTTTTCTGTTTTTTAAAAATCTTTTTCATTTTCTCTGTCCCTTGCAGTCTCTAACCATGCATTATTAGCAAGGGGTAGAAAGAATCCAGCCAGACCATCTCTAAAGGAAGCACCTTATGGTCAGCATGGTGGTGTACTTACCAGGGAGTCTCTGGGTGTCACCACATCCGCTTTGGTTTTGACATTTTTCTTGTGGCTTCCTTGAGTGCTGATAGAGCTGCCGATGAGACAGGAGCCCTGGGAACTGCCCTTTAACATGTTCCTGCAGGAAACATTCTTTGATCCACTCTCTGTCTGTTGAGCTCCTTTCTTATCAACTCTGCAGGTAGAAAGTGATTCCTCTGATAAATTACATTGCTCCTCTTCAATCACTCTCCTTCCCCCAATCCTTTAATGTCTAAACTAACTCCATGCAGCTCTTTGTCTTTAGGCCTTGGAATGGTAAATGTTACTCACTAGCCTTGAGTGACTAATATGCCAGGAGTGTGTCAATGTAGATGCTATAATAATCTACTTTTTAAATTTTTATGATGCTTTACGGAGGGGCAAAATAAAAACCACCAAAAAGTGACTGATAAATACATTCTGGCTTAAGGTCGGCAGGAAAAGTAATTATGTCTGGAAAGTTTCTAAGTATATATTTGCTCAGTACAATCAATGAAATCTGCATACTATAAAACGTATGTGTAATTTTCTTCCATTTCATGCCATGTGGGTACATTCATGGTTCCTAGTATAGGTTGAATTTCTATCAACCTTGATAAAACTTACCATTCTTTAATTTCAAAGACCATTGGCTTGGTTAACAAAGTATCGTGGACTAAATTATCATTTTATTGCTCACTTTTATTTCATTGTTTAAATTCTGGCTAATGTATAGTAAGACTGCTCCTATGTGTTTCTGCTTTTGTGAAAACCGTGTTTGATTGGCATCTGATATGTGGGAAGGAAAGAGCTCTCCTTAAGGGGGAGGGGTCTGTCCTCTACATTGTTGTTCACTGTCCCCGTGAGTTACCTGTTTAAGAGTTCCGTCATAAAGTTATCTTTTGCTGAACTCATAACAGGGATGGGTCTGTTTCTTGGTTCCAACTTCATTCGATTGTAAATGTCTGGTGATGTTTTCAGGTTATTTTTGCTTTGCAAACCAACCTCGGGACTGTCTTCCGACGTGTTGCCCCCGTTGAGCTCATTTTCGATTTCATACTGCAGTTCAGACTTTTTCTTTTCTTTTTTTCTTTCCGATTTTAGTTGTTTGTTTCCAAACCCCAAGGCTTTTGCATCTTTCTTTTCCACTTTGGTTTTGGACACATCCATTTTCCGGCTACTGAGAGCTGGAAGTCTGCTCTTCCGAAAACCAAACCAGCTGGCGAAAGAAGGCCCTGGCTTTGGCTTTGCTTCCACAGAGGTGGACTTTGTCTGCACTTGGCCCTTTTCCATGTTTTCCTGAATGCACAACATGACCTTTTCTTCGATTGTGGGTGAGAGGGGGGCTTCTGGGCTCACAGCACCAGTCTCAGTTTTAGAGGCATCTGGATGCCTTCCAGAAGTTTCTAGCTTGGATGCCCTGCTTGTTTCCAAATTGTTTGGAGGCTGTGTCCTCCCTGGGGCCATCAAGGCTTGAGGGCAATCTGCTGGGGTGGGTAGGCACCTGCAGTGGTCACTGCCTGGTTCCCCAGGTACAGTCAGGCCGGCGCATTCTACCTGGGCAAAGGCCTGCTGGTGTTCCATTCCAGGTGGGGTGGGGATCCCTTCAGGTTTTGGGGGGATCCTCAGGGGCAACTTGCTTGGGCTCCCATGCTGGCTACTGGAACTGCCTGTGCTCCCTTGGGAGCATTGCCGGGAGAAGGAGTGTCCCAGGGGCTTTCCAGCACTGGGGGGACTCTCAGATGTGGGAGCAGAAGAGGTCTTGGGAGGAGAGCTTTCGGCAGAGGCATTCTGCCTGGTAAGAGAATTGCCTCTCTCAGCAGTGTTGGTAATAATCTGAGTTCGGATTTTGCCTGAACCTTCCACGGGGGGAGTAGAGGGTTTGTCTCCTGAGTGGGCACTGAAGCTCTGGCTTCGGGCTTTGGCACCATTCATGCCTAGAGCTGGTTTTAGGTGTGGTTTGCTGGAGGAAAGAGATCTTTTCACTGATCTGTTTTCTACTCCATCTTTTCCATCAGTCCCAGGGATGCTATTTTCCAGTGATTCTGGCAGTGCTGTTTCCAGGGGAAGGCCTTCTGCTAAACTGTCTGGCCCCTGTGAACCCAGTGTAGAGGTGGTTCCGCTGTTCCCTGCGGTCTCAAGCCTTGCTGGATGCCCGGAGTCCTCGGGTTTAGACTCGCCCACAGCCACAGAACTTCTGGAGGCTTCATTTAAACTGTCTTTTTCATGTTTTCCTGGCACCGTGGAACTTTTCCTGAGCAACTGGGGAGACTTCATGAGAACTTTGAGTCCCACCGGGAGACGAGTTTTCAGTCCTTTCTCATGAGCATTATGACAACCATATGGGGCACTATGGCTTTTGAAGGAGGAAGAGGAACTGTTAACCTGAGATGATGGTGACTCATTGGCCCCTAAGAAGGAAGGCTTGGGGGATGCAAGGACACTGTCATTCACTTGTCCTTTTCTTCCTGGAGATACACTTTTGGAGGCTATCTCCACTGGCTCATGGATGGAAGGACAATTCTTGGGTGTCCTTATCCCTGTGTCTGTGTGTATGGTCCCAAGTGTTTGGTGAGGAGAGGTTTTGGGGACACCTCTCTTTGGAGAGAACTTTGGAGGCCCTGGAGACATCATGGCAAAAGAGCTAGTGGGGATGTGAGCAGGGCATCTGGTGGGAATCGTGGTTTCTGTGGAGGGTGGAGCATGGGTGAAGACAGGCTTTTTGAAAGCCACGGAAGGTTTCTTCCTCTGCACTTCTGTTGTGGCATGATTAGAAGAAATGACAGGAGCAAAGGTTCCTTTCAGCAGAGGGGTCTTGAATACTGTCCTTGCTGTGTCATTGGGGACTCTGGTTTCAGATTTGGCAGATGAAGGTGGCGGCAGATAGTCATAACTGGACCTGACCAGGAGGGAAACTGACCTGCCTGGAGGAGGGGGCGGGGAAGGAGATTTCATTCCCATGTCTGGCTCTGAATCACAATGTTGGTCCCTTGTAGGAGGGTCTCCATTCTCATGAGGCTCTGCAAGGGGCCTCGACCGCAATCCTGGAGTCTGACTCTTAGAGCACTGGACCGAGTCCTTCCTGCTGGACATTTTGGGGACATGGGGAGTTTGGAGAGGGTGTTTTGGAATGTGCGATTCTGTTTGTGCATTGGAACAGAAGGGCCCTGGGCTCTCAGTCTTCATGAACCGTGAGAGTTTCCCAGGAAGTAAGGCTGATGATTTCTCAAGAGTCACTAGGCCAGAGGGGGAACCTAGTGTGGAAGCTTCAGGCTCTATTATTTTTGATTTCTGAGGTGAAGACTTGCCTCTGGCAGGTATTTTTGTCAGACTTTGCTTTTGATAGATACCTACAGATGCCCCAGACCTAGAATTATTCTGGCATGACATATTGTGTGTTGGCTTGGTCAGTTTTTGTCGCGCGGCATTTTGCGTTACTGACTGGGGGCTGAAGGAGTCTATGGTCACCAGAGGAACATTATCCATGTCATCCTTTGGAATGTTTTTCTCACTTCCCTCTTCAGATCTTTTTAAGAAGGCAGAATCTCTCGTAGCAGCAGCTCCCAGCTGTAAATGAGCAATTCCCTGAGGTGAAAGTTCGGTGTGTTCAGCCTTCGGCCCAGCAGAGGCCGTGTTGATGGAAATTTCATTTCTGGTAACAGTGACAACTCCAGTCTGGTGAGAGCTGAATTCAACGGGTTCACCATCTTCCGCATCAAATATTACAGTGACACATTCTTCTGAAGAAGTCCTTTTTACAACCCTTTGCTGCTTAATAAAGCCAAATGTCTTTGGCCTCGTCTCTAGGTAGGTGGGCACTGTTTTTTCCTCTTTAGGAGACTCAAGTTCAGACTTTCTGAATCCTATGAGGATGTCCAGGTTCTCAGTGGACTTGTCGGTGTCAGCAGTCAATGACAAGTCTGAAGGGCTTTTCTCATCACTGCTCTCTATGCGTAGCTCATCTAGGGTTTCGTTGTCATCAGTGTCTGAGAGCTGGAGACTGAGAGCCATGTGACTATGGCCTTGGTTGTGCGGATCCCTCTCCCTCTGCACCTGAGGTACCTGCACACTTGGGCACAGCTTCCTGTCCAATGGGTAGTTGCTGGCACAATGAGATAGCTTTTCAGGCTTTTCCCTGGGGTAAACTGAGGACATGTCTTCTGAAAAGTGTTTTCCATCGGGCTCCCAGCCAAATAGACTATCAGAAACACTGTGGGTTAACTTACTGCTGTGCAGCCTGCAGCCTTCATTTGGAACTGTTTGCAGCAATGCTAAAGAGGATGAGTCTTCATCGGCATCCTCCTGAGGATCTGTATCATAAACAAATGTCTTGTGGAGCTCCCTGCCAGGGCTCCCCACACCAGGTAGTTTGCTGGAAGGATATTCCTTAAGGCTGCCACTTTTAATTCCTGGAGAATATATTCCTTCATTTGAGTTCATGCAATCTTTATAACCCCATTTGGTTATCACTGACGGGGGTTCAAGTAACACTTTGCGTTTCTGTAGCTTCCTTAGCCCTTCCAAAATATGACTTTCCTTGATCCGAGTGGGAGGTAGTTCATCTGCAGAACTAGCAAAGCCACTTGGGAGTGAAGAATCGATACTTAGCCTTTTATCCCAGTTTTGTGTTGATTGCTAGGAAAAGAAAAGCAGATATCAGAAACAATTGAACCATGTAGATCACAAATATATAAAAGGAAAAACCTATTGTTAGGCTTAATTTGTGCTATTGGTTAATAAGGATTCACATATAAATGTAGTTTATGCAATGTTAACTATGTAGTAAACATTGATTTTGCCAGATCCTGTGCTACAGTAGCACCCTGAAATAAAGGAATCTAGAAGGTAAGATCTCTACTTTGGGGGAGCAGAAAACTCAGCAGAGGAGAGGGGAGTTAGCTAAAATTAAGTGTATGTCATAGGAGAAAATGAGACCTGTAAATGGGGTGGGTATTATAGATTCAGAAGAGGGAGCCCAAAGGCTTGTTTGGAAAAATCTTGAAAGGAATATAGGAAAGATATTTTTTAAAAAACATACCTAGCTCTTGAAAGACAAATAGACTTGCCTCAGGTTACAGGTAGGGAAAAGGCTTTCCAAGTTGAAGAAATGGAATGGGGAAATACCTGAGTCAGGGAGGTACGTTCAAGGAGCACTTAGGGAATACCCAGAAGATAATAGGGCCTTCCTGTAGAGTGCCGATGGCATGTGGAGAGGGTAAACCAGAAAAGTAAGCAGCTCCCTATCTACATGTTCTCTCCATTCTAACATTTGATAGTTCTTTGACTTCATGAACATCAATAAAATGTTTCTCAAGTTATTATGTATACATTCATGCCCTTACATATATGCTTACTTATAAGACCTGGGCATTTTCTATTAGAGCCCCATAGTAATTATTCTTCTACTAACTTACAAATGTCAATTTCTTGCCCTTCATACTTCCTCAAATGTCAGCCTTAGTTTTGGGAACCTGTTTTGGAAATGTCACAGGAAAAAGATTGCATTCCACACATTCACATTTTTCACACCATTGGCTATAAAAAAAATGGAAGGGCAAAAGGAAAGGACTAACATTTACTGAGCACCTGCTGTATACTGACCAGTACTTTGCATCATCGGAACACTACCATAGGGAGACATTATCCTTCTCATTTTACTATGGAAAAAACAGATTCAAAACTGGTCCGTTGCAACTTACAGAGATACGAAGAGCTGGAGCAAGGGTATGGATTCTGTTTTCCCTGGCACTTTCTACAGCACTGTCCATTTTACCTCAGTTCAAAGGTGGCTGGAGGGGATGTGTCCAGCTCTCCAGCCTGTGTTCCTAATCTTGATGCTATTCTACAAAGTCAAACTTGGCTTCTAGTCTCCCTCTGCATTAGACAGTGTCCTAACAGAAATCACAAGTTACTTGTGCACTAATTTCTTGAATAGAACTTGCAGTTTAAATTACAAGCCAGCACCCAGGGAAATGAGTAGGATGTAAAGGGTGATCTGATGACTTTTTACAAAAGGTTACCTAATTAACGGCAAGTAACTTCAACAGCTAAATGTGGTAGTTTCAGAAGAGCACTCAGAACCAGTCTTGGCTATACCAGCTGTTCTCCACCATGCAACTGAGTGTTTAAGTATGTGCTCATGTGCAGAGATAGAAAAAGTGTCAGAAACTTACACTGGGATCTGGGCTTTTAAGTAACCTGTGAACATTTGCTTTTATCCAAGAAATTTCCATGACAATTATTCTTGCTATCCATAACAAACACACATTTATTTGTTTTTAAGTCAAATTACATATTTTCTTTTGAAAAATTCCTTGGTGTCAGAAGTTGCTGGGAATAAATGTTATTTGGTGATGGCATCCCTTTTCCCTGCTCTTCCTCTTTGCCATTTAAAGCTCCTTTGGAAATCAGAAGCAATCCCCTCAGTGAGTCTGAGTATTATAGACCACCCAGGTACAGTCCGCCTCAGCTTAGATTTCTAAGAATTTCTATGATCCTGATAGTCACATTGATAGGAAAGCAGAGAAACCAGACAAAAGTGCCCTGTAAGAGCTTGGATGAAGTAGATGTGTCTACCCCACAGAAGGTACGCGTGGCCTCTGCTGACCCTCCTCCTCTCTGCCCCTGTAGAGTCTGCCCGTGCTGCACTTCACCTTGCCCCAAGGTTGGTGGCTGTAAACCTTCAAATGAGATTGGTCACCTTCTTCCACCATTTTCCACAGGAGGTTGTGGCATTTAACAACTTGAAAAACGTCTAACCCATCTTGAAACTTGGGAGCAAAAATAAAAGCATGCGTTCCCTGTGGCTGAGGGGACTGGGAGGAGCTGGTATTTCCCACAGGTGGATGCCTTCTCTGCTGGGGAAAGTTGCAGGAGAGTTGCCCCCTGGAGCAGTTGTGGATGGCTTCAGGATGCTGCTGCGGAGGTAGGGGTCACAATGCCTATACTTGTTTTCCACTCCTTACCTGGACATCTGGATTATAATTTCATTTATTATTTTAAAAAGGACATTGTTGGTCTTACTAGGAATAAATCCATCCCAACACTGGGCACAACACCATCATGTATTAGGCTGACTCAACAAGGCCATGAGAGCAGAACCATTAAGAGTGAAGGTTCTGGAACCAATTGCCCAGTTCTGCCATGTACTGGCCATGAGATCTTGGGCCAGTTACTTAACTTCTCATCTGTTACTCAGTTTCCTTATCTGTAAAATGGGGAGAACAGGAAAATGTACTTAACAGACTATTGCAAGCATTAAATGATACTTGGGAAGTGCCTAAAAAAATCGAGATAAATGATAATAGTTCTTTAATTAGAGTCAAATTACTCCATGTAGAACATGCTGGTGCATTTCATTCAGGCTTCCTTTCTGTTTGGACATAAAACAGTATTAAAAAAACGCTCTTGAGTTCTTGAGCTCTTACTCATATATTTTATATGTTAAATTCAAATTTATAACATTTAATTTAATTATGCAAGTTGATATAAATGAGCACCTGGCACCAGGTAAAAACCCCCAAAGTTCCTCAAATATAGCATAAATTTAAAATGTCTGGACAGGCCTGGATCCAGCTTGCTGTGTCCCTGAGAACCAGGACAGTGCACTGTGACATGTGACAGGTGCACAGAGATTCCATGACCATGAGTGCACGCCACCCAGTGTCTGTGCAATGTCTTCAGAACTTTCCTTCCCTTCTTCCCAGGGGAGAGATTGCCTTAGAACATCCAGGGCTGCTTTAATTCAAAGAATTCAGTCAAAAAATTTTTAAAAAGAAAGTAAAAGGCTCTGGGAAGGACAGCTAAGTGGTACCAGAATGAAATGAGCAGAGTATGGGGCCATGGGAGTCAGCAACGCTCAAGAGACAAAGAGAGGAAACCTCTCTGGCCATGTTCCTGGTCTCTGAGGAGCCAGGCCCCTGGCAGTCATTATTCAGAACTCTGAATTGCTCCTCAGAGGGAGCGATTCTGATAATGCAGTAGGCTCTCCACTTTGCATTAGATGTCTGAGTCCTAGGGAATAGGCTTTAAATGCAAGCTTGAAATCTTTTTTGGAGTTCTTGTTCAGAAGATGACAAAGCTGCTCCCTCACCAATATTTTCTGGGAGTTATGGAATTTTCCTGGTTTCTAAACCGCTGAAAGCATAAACTAAATTTACCCAAATGGTAGAAAAATGACTTTCAAATATTCTGATTCAAGGTTCCCATTCTCACGTATTCTGCTTTCTTTCCACTCTAGGGAACTGCTAAAACAGCTCTTTCAAAATTCTTGGCTTGCACCAGTGTGCAAAGAAGTTTGGTCAAAGCATGAAGGGATCTTTAGATGTGTGAGCCCACTGTGCAGGTGGATGGCTATCCTTCTAATGGGAAGCATTGTCTAAGCACCTTGGCACATAAATAGGAATGGACCTACTTTCACTGAAGGCAGGGTCCCTGTGGTTCACCACAGTACATTCCCCAGTATGCTGCCTTCCAGTTGATACTGAAATCATATTTGATAAGCCACAGCACTGATTAGTGGAGGTCAGCATAAACCATGAGCAGGTACTCAGCAAATGGTCATTTCCCTCTTAACCCTCCCTCCAACTCTCCGCCTCCGTGACCACATCCTACCAGCAGAGGATCTGGTTCACTCAGATGCTAAAAATGCCTGGAAAGGAGCCTTACCCTTTTCCTGAGGTTCTTGCTATCATGCCATGTGTAGGAGGAGCCACTGGAGTATTCGCTGCAGGTGCTGGAAAGGGACAGTTCACTGCTACTGCAGCTGTTTCGAGGACAGAGGTGACCGGGGATGACAGCCCCCAAGCCAGTGCACTTCAGGGCAGAAGTTCCTGATCTTGCATTCAGTTGGTATTCCTGAAAAGGCAAGAAAGTTCTGAGTAAGTGCCTGCTTAGGGAAGAGTAAGTACCAACTGAACCTCATAGTGAGTAGTCAGAAGCACAGACTTAGGAGCCAAGCAGACTACAGGCACTGTGTTTACTGTGTGGCAACAGGGAAGTTAATTAGTTTTTACAGCCATGTTCTCCTTTTCAAAGGGAATAATGACAGTAGTGCCTACCCTAAAGGATTATTGAAAGGAGTAGATGAGTTACTAGATATGAAGCACATAGCACAGCATCTGGCCTATAATTGCTGCTCAATTATTGCAAGTTCATTATAATCAAAAGTACCATGATGGTGGTTTCTTTTATCCTTTCTTACATGTTAGAAAATAAGATCAACATCAAAATATGACTCAAGGTCATTGTAATGTTTTGAGCAACTAATAAAAAAAGCAAGTTAGACTAGTTTATATGATAAAATTTACATTTTTTGTAACATATGCTTTGGTAAAAATATCTAGTTTATTCAACCCCATTTCAATGTTTAAATGAATTCTACTGTCATGTAAGACTGAAAAAGAATAAGTAAAAAACAAGCATGTAAAAAAAAAATATGACTCAAGGGCTGCTTGTACAGCCGAGAGGTAGAGTGCTTGCCTAGCATGTGTGACACCACAGGCTCCTCTCCCAGCACCACAAAACAAAACCCCCAAATGACAACAATAACATGACTTGAGTGCTACAAATGGAAGGAGACGGAGTAGTGTCCTTGGCTATAGGGTTCAAGAGCCTGAGCACTAGACTGCTAGTCTAGTGTCTGGATCAGGCTACAAAATGTCACCAAATATGTGATCTTGAGAAACACAAAAAATTAACTTCCATGGACCTTAATGTCCTCATTTGTAGCTTTACTAGATTACTCCCAAGGTCCCGTCTGGCTCTGACAATATTCTTTTAAATAAGCTGTCAAATGCCCCCAGTTTATCGGTGCCATCTTTTAATAAGCCATGAACAGGGGACAACAAACTTATGTATTCCAAGTCTACAATGTAAAATATAAGACTTTTTGTATCTAGTTGGCTGTCCAAATGGCAACAATGCACACATCAAACAGATCTGGGTCCTATGCAGAAGGCCCAGGCTGTTGGAATGCTAGTGGTCTGCATAAAGCAAGGGTGACCAATAAACTGTGAACATCCAAGCACATCTTGACAGCCACATTACTGCCCCTTGCATAACAAATGAAGTTCTACAAACCAGACAGGCTAAATTAAATTAGTACCCAGACCACTGAGAATAAAATCTCTCTACTACCATCTAATTCCAGTCTCCTATCTATATAAAGCTTCGTTTCAGGAACTCTTTGATGGGATGCTATCTGTCTTGGTGTCTCTTGCCTCTTACTTATGTGATTCACTGACACTTTCTGGGTGCCTCTGGTACCCCAGTACTTATCACTGCTTTCCAAATGCAATTCCCACTGACGGTGACTAAACACCATGCAGGGAAGAAGGTAATGAGAATGTGAGGGTGCTTGTGGTAATGCTGAGCCCCTGCATAAGTGCATGGGGCATGTTTAATTTGCTCTCGAATCAATATCCATAATACTTAATAATGTTAGATTTTATCTGCTTTGCTATCAATACTTTATTTTTTGCTGCATAACAATTTCTTTAAGTGATCTAAAAATGCCAAGAACTTTTATTACCCTACTCTCCTTCCCCTGAAATGTGACTCTAAACATCAATGAAAGGAGAAATTTGTCTTAAAAATCCAGATTTCAACAATATCTATTGGTTTATATCCTAGTTTATTGCCAGATGTAACTTGGTTAAGGGGAGTTCATATTTGGAACTCAGCTGCCTACGACCAATGGCTATGTCTTGCTGGAGCACCTGGAAGCTAAGCCTCAGCCATCACAGACATCTAGAATGCTCCCTGAGCAAATATTTAGAAACACCCCACCCGACCCCACCTCTACTTGTGTGCTGTCCAATTCCTCCAGCCTGTTCTCTCACATTTTGTGTCTGAGTAATCCGGGAAGAGGTAGTTACCTAGGGCTGCCTCTGCTGGTAACTATGTCTCCTTTGCAGAGAGGGCTTGTGACTGCCTTTCACCAGGTGACCTGGAACTAAGCTCCATTGGCCTTTTAACACCCTGCTTGGCTTTTAGTGACAGTTTACATCCTGCCTTTCCCCAAAGTACTGGGGCTTGTATATGATTTCCTACCTATCCCTCACCACTACACCTATCAAATCATACCTGTTTTTACAACTTAACTCAATTCTCAGGATTCTTAATGCATAGCCCCCCTTGCCGAGTTATAACTCATAGGAGTACCTCCTGCAAAGAGGCTGCATTAATATGACAGGAAACTAGATCTTGGAAGATGGGCTGGAGTGAGAATGAACTCTGGGGTCTCTTGGCCTTAAACTTGAGTGCCCAAATGTGATAGAGGAAGGGCTGTCAATGTTATGTGTGGCAGGTGGGTGAGAGGGATTGGGCAGAGAGGTGTCAAAAGCATTGACTGCATAAGATAATAATGAAGATGGAACTGCTTCTGGCATAGGAACTTGTAGGTGCTGATGCTTTTATAAAGAGACACACATGTGTGTCTTGCCTCTTCAACTAAACGATACGTTCACAATCTGCCTACAGGACCCTGTTTGAAACTTCCTGGCATCCCATCATTATCTGATACCTGGCACACAAGTGATAATATAGTACTGGGCAATAACCAAAGTGGGTGCACTTGGTCTCAGGGATCACTATAGGAGTTTTTGGAAAGACGTACTAGTAGATGGCCTTCTTGCTCATTGTTTCTACCTCTGCCATGTTTTCCTGTGGCTGTGACATAGTGCCACATGTTCAAGGAGAACAGAAAAGGGTAAAAGCAACAGAGATCTTCTGATGGTCCCAATGTTATTAGCAGGTACTATGCTACACACATTTCATGTATTATCTCATGTAATCCTTGCTGTAATTCTCTGAAATAAAAAAGAAATATCATTACCCACATTTTCTAAATGGGAAATCTGGCGTACTCAGATTTTAATATCTTGTAAAGGATTACTTGGCCAACACAGCATTGTGATGCCAGACCCAAGTCCCAGCCATTTTGCTGTAATACTGAGAATGGCCCCTGACAGCAAAACTCTCTGGGATACACAGAACATTAGAATCCCACTGAGCATGGCTGTCAATAGATAATAATTATCACTAAAATTCTTCTTTGTCAGAAAATGCATATTGGTTTCCACTGCAACATTATCTTAATTATGTTTATTTCATTGGCAAAATTCACCCTGTTTTCGCTATTCAAACTGTATTTTTTTCAATGTGCATTTTAGATTACTGCCTTGAATGACTCGTATATTTTTATATCCTTGCTGTGAGAAATGCCATATGAAATCTACAATTTTACTTAAAAAATAGAGAAACTGAAGCCAAGAGTTTCTTGAATAAGAATTGCATACTTTAAAAAATCCCTGATCTTAAGGACATATTATAGATGGGATGCCATTAGGTCTTTATAGAAGTTTAAAATGACTGCATTCCACTGAAATCTAATTTCAATTTAACTTGAGATTATTTACCTTTGATATAGAATATCCTGTATACAACTAACAAAATTATAAAGTAAAATCCAGTGATCCATAATGTTCAAGTAATTTATTTAAGCCTAACATTTTTCATTATGTATTTATACAGCTGTTATATGTTTTTTTTCAAGTTACTCTTTTTATGTCAATGGGATTTAAAAGCCATGCTGGTTAAAGTTTTGCCAAATAAGCACAAAGCGAACCCCAGCTAAAGGAAAAAAAAAAAGCACAGCCCATGAATTTTTAAAAGTTCATACATAATATATCATAAAAGTAGGATGAATAATATGGGACATGGGCTTTAATAAAAAGCTCCTTGACCATTTCTCAGAGACTTTGAGATGTAATCAATACCCCAAAAGGTATCTTGGGGACAAAGCCAAGATTTATGACATTTTTGCCTAGAGTGACACTTTCTGCTTACTATATCAGCTGGGGGACATGATATTGAATTTCAGAGAACACAAGAAAGGAAGGTCTTTTTATCTGCCTGACAATGCTTCAAGGATGCACTTTATGGTTCAGCTGTGACATCATATTTGATGGAAGGAAAATAACAACCTGAACAAGTCCTCTGAAGGCAACTGGGGGACTCACGTGTAGCTCAACATCGGTTCGTGACTGCGTCAGACTTCGGCTCCTTCCCACCTCTGAGAGCAAATCTCCAGATGAAAGATCCAAGATGCGTGAGTGAAGTTTCTAGGAGAAGCCAAGCAGAAACATGGAATAGCCATCATTGAACTGTTTGTTTTAAAATCCTGCCTTGGACAACTAAGTCTCAAAAGAAGTGACATTTCTGGATTAGAGAATACATGCCCTAATTCAAACACGTTTATTCCAGTTTATTAGGTGTTCAATATCTATGCACATATACAGATTGCATTTTGTAAACAATAATCATACATTTTACAGTTTTTCCATCTGCCTTGGGAAATAGTTGAATAAGTTGTAGTTGAAAGATTAGCAGGAAATATGTGACTATCCCCAATATACTTACTGACTAGTGTGAAAATAACTTCTGATATTCATATTAAAAAACTCAATCATCAAGTTAACCTAAAGATGTTGAGTGGTGGTTAAAATATAAGCAAATAATTACGAAAATGACCTTATTTCTGAACAGCACTGATCTTGTGAAATTTTCCCTTGGACACATTTTAACTCAAAGTCATTAGCGTCATCTGTTAGAAACAATTAATGTGAATAGAAAATAATTGCATCAGGGATCTGGGGACTCAGAGGATTTTGTGCATTAATATTTACGTGCTATTCGATTATATACTGAATTCTTTATTTCAGTTTTGCTTGGAAGGCCTGCTAAAACAGGGACATTTTACTATATTAATCTTTATACTAATTACTAAGACTTTTCTGTGGACATTAAATTTGATCAGTTTAATTGTAAATACAATAAAACCCATGATTTATCCTCTAATGTTTCTACTAGACCCGTGACATTTTAAAAGTGGTACTTGTACCCTGGTTTGTCTTGGTTACAACTTTTGTGACTTCAGACACTAAAAATGTCTAATCAAGTAAGTAAAAAAAAAAAAAAGAGGAATAAATCCAAATCTGGCTGCATGTTGCTTTGAAAATTCAATTTTTCTAATGAAGATAAAACCTCAATAGGTAAATAGAAGACTGACTTTGTTTCTGAACAGTTTTTATAATCCTTAGGTTCTCTCTAGATTCTGAGTTTCCTGGGGACAAAGATAGAATTTCTCTCACCATTTAATTCCCAGGACCTGACACAGTATATTATACTCAGTAAGTACCCAATAAATGCTCATCACAGTCTATAAAGGAAAAATGATGTCGTTAGATTATCCCTATCTGTATATAGGTTTTAACCATTGAGAGAGTGCCAGAATAATTATAATGTTTTAAGACCCAAGAATACATTTATCAATATGCAAACAGTAGAAGTAGTTATGGGAAATGACATTCAACAAAAGAAATGATGATTTTGAGTGGTATATCATGTGATTTGGAGGAAAAGTCCTGTATAGATATCTGACTTCTTATTCAGTTCATGACTGTACTTCACTCCTTTTTCTATGATGTCACCCTTTCACTGACTGCATGAATATGTGCGGGTAAAAACCTCCTTTCCTAAATGATGTTACGTGTCACTGGTTTTTATCAAACTTCTCAGTCCCTGCCTTGAAATCAGTAAGGTCTTCGTGGAGATGGAGGAGGTCCTGGAGCAAGAGATCAGGGCACTTGAGTTCCAGCCCTGTTAAAGTACAGGTTTCATGGGTTCTCAGGAATGTAATTGAACCTCTCTGTGTGAGATCCCTCACCTATTACAGAAGGATGGAAATGGCTGCTTAATTCACCATCAAAGAATGGGCACGAAGTCATAGCAAGAAGAGGTGATATATAGGAACCCATGTAGCCTTACTGCAAGTTATTGTCATAATTCAGAGTGCGTGGTAGGTAGTTTCTTAGAGGTTAGGTATAATCATTTGCTGTCATAGTATCCATGCATGTAAGGTAAACAAAAACCAACTCAGGAAAGTAAAATCTTAAAGAAAAATGTCTATGTATATGTGGGTGATAAAACCACTTTTGTGAAACCATGTTACAATCTGAGCTTAATTCTGATCTTGAAAAAAAATAGTAGAATGTTTATGTGGACAATTCAAGTCACTGTCAGAAGGGGAGAGAGAAGGCATGACCCTTTCAGAGGAGACCTCCTGCTGAGAGGGCAAATTCTCCATCTCACATTCAGCCATACTTCATATTCCCTGTTGGAGTCCATCTGGATAAAATCTCTTACCTGAACAGCTTTAAACTTCAAATGTTTAGCCTGAAAATCCAGAAAAGTCCTGGATATGGTTATGTTTTGCTTTAGATGTGAAAGACAGCAAGACCACTCAATAAAGGTGTAAAACTGACATTGAATCATCTGTTACTTGGTCTTAGTAACTGAGTTTGGCCTCAGAAATAGACTCCTAGCCTCCCATATCTCCAAACCAGTGAGAAATACTTTCTTCAAATGCTTCCTTTGAGGGCAACAGTCTTACTCTCCCTTCCTATCTGACTGGTTCCATTGAATCAGGAATGTGCCCCTCTCCCTTCTGAGTTGATGCTTTCATCCATATTTCCATTGCACACTATCCCAGCTCTTGTCTACCAAAAAAACAAAACAAAACAAAACAAAAAAAACCTGACCAGGATTCAAAACTACATTAAAACTCTACCTGGAAGGTTACCTATCCTCACTAATGCAGGGTGGGTTCTCTCCCCTGATGGATTACATTGCTCTCTCCCTCAGGTCCTTTATCTAGTGTACCAATACTGAACTGCTCCTGTTATAGGTTCTGCTTTCCCATGGGTTATCAGCTCCATGAGAAAACAGGCCAAGTCCTATGTTTTCACTTTGTCCCTGAAGCAAAGACTGACACACAGCTGGTCTTTTCTCCTAGCCTCTTTTTTAGTAAAGGATGACCATGGTTAGTTCTAGCCCACGGAGTGTGGGCAAAAGTGATGTCTGCCCTTTCCCCTTGGTCCAGGAACATCCCACATATGTTTCTCTGCACTGTATTCCCTTCCATTGGCTCAATGCAGTGAACTCAGTACAGTAACTGTAGAGGCTACATGTCCAACAGGGAGCAAACCTGGGGAAGAGAATTTGGACTCGTGAATCACCAACTGGATGACAATTACACTAGGACCAGAAATACCTCTTTTGGACTTTATATGAGGAACAAATCAGCCATGATTCATTTGGAGTTTGTTTGTTATCACTAACGCTGACTTGGCTGATATTGCCTTCCTTTGAGATAAGCACTCTGCAGCACACGAGGTAGTTACTCAGTAGGTACTTGCGTTCATACTCACGTACGTCTGTGTGTTAATAAGTGCATCTGTGCACACACCTATTTACACATGTATATGGCTGTTAGGGGACCAAGGTGACTTCCTACACTGAGGATTCCAAGCTTACTTTCTGTCACTAGATTCAGGAGCAAGGGTGGGACATTTCTCGAAGGCTTAGACTGTATCACAAGTCATAGTGAGGACCTACCTTCCACACCAGGCTAAAATACCAAATTTAGTTTTGAAGACATAACAATGTCAGGGCAGCTGGTACCCAGACCACAGGTTGGATTAGTGATATATGGGGATTAACTTGCCCTCAGTTGGTTAGCCCTATGTTCTCTTGTATAGTCCTCTATCAATGAGACCAGGAAGAGAAATGTCCCCCACGAGAGACTATGCCAAGGATGAACCATCCTTTATCAGATGGGATAGAGGTAGAGTGACCCCTGTGGCTCTCCAGTTAATGAAGACAGCAGAGACTGGAGACTAAGGTATGCTCAAGCCTTTTAGAACTGGTCAGAGGATGAGAATTTTCCATTGTTTCTCTCTGTGCCTCACATGGAGCAGTTTCTCAGGGGTCAGTGAAGGCTGGTTGCCTTTGATAGAGTCCTGCCTCTAGGTTTTGACTCAGTTCTGTAATGATTTCTTAACTTTAGGACAGTAATTGCGAAGGCCAGGAAGACATTGAGACCTTATTTAGTGGTACAAGGCAAAGTTAGAAAACAGAACTTCTGCTAAGAATTTTGCAGAACGTGGGACACTATTCAGAAATTACAAATAAAATAGAGTAATGAACAGTTTCTGTGTTTGCTAATGTGCTTCCTAAAGTTTGGAAAGGAAGGTGTGAATTTGTCCTTATGAGGATTTCAGAGGCTATTAGCTCAGCTTTAGGAATCAAGAGGAGAGGACAAAAAGGATTGTTTAACCATGGCTCCCTTCATTCAGATTTCTTGAGAGAATTAATCTAACGACATAATCATGCATGCAATTATTCTTCCCTCTAACTACTAAAGGCCAAATATCTGCACAAAAGGGAAGTTGTGAGAATAGATATGGCATGTCTCTGACTAGCACACTTTACCAACATGAGCACCTTAGGTTTACCAGTGGAGGGGGGATGGGAATTAAAATTTAATTTGATCTCTTTCAATCACCTCGATTGACTGAACCTTGCTCAATACAATAAATAGTCCAAATTTTACCCCAGTCCTTTTATTCATTACAACTGCATTTTATTCTTTGTGGAACAACTCAGTTGAAGTGGATGGCATCTATTCACATGGATCTTGAACTTCTGCTTTACTCCCAAGATAAGAAGGTCTCTTATTGCCATAGGACCTAGCACTAAACATTCTTTACCTCCCATTCCCTGAATTCTATTCTTAACATGTTCCTCCCACAGGAAGGTAGTTTTCTACTCTGAAGTTTCAACGTAAAAAATTTAGAGGAATAGAGAAATTGCCTGGAATCTTGCTACCTGCCACTGTTATTCAGCACCTGACCCAAGAGAAGGAACACCAGCAACCATCCTTGGTCACTCCCTGTGGGGCGAATACATTGTACCTGTTCCTGTCCACCATCTTGCTGAGCTCTGCTGCTCTCTACCATCTTGGATGGCTGCATTTTTGGAATTGGACTTCTTTAGGGATCAACCTCCTTCATAAGTGGTAGCCTGGATTCTGGGTTGATATACTGGATAAAGAACCAACTGCTTTTTTTCCAACTTTACATTAGCTTATCTCTAATTCAGAGATCTCATCCCACCTCAGGGCTTCCAGAAAGGTTTCTAGGGTGCCATTCCTGCTCCTCCACCTCAGTCTTAGGCTGGCCCTCAGCCCAGTGCTTCATTATTTTTTTTCATTCTATCACAA